CACACACACACACACACACACACACGCACACACGGGTGAGACAGAAACGACTCAAGGACAAGATGAAAACACATTTTCTCTGAAGCTTCACGTAGATTCTGTTTCCTTGATTTAACCAGAATTTAAATCTCATTTCAACAATCACGCACATGAACATATGAACATATGAACACATGAACACATGAACACGTCAGTTAATTACACATTATAGAGCCTGAATCTTAAAATATCATGAATGTGACGTCTTATTCGTTAGAAAGAAAAACCTCCTCAGTGTCATTATTAAAGAAGATTCGTTTCTCTGGAGAATCTAAATCTGCTTCAAACTGAATTTTCTTACACATGTAAAATATTTTTGTCTTTTCTTTCAATAGATTATGTATGTGTATATAAATATATATAAATAAATAAATATATATATATATATATATATATATGAACAGTCTTGATGGTTGAAACTAGAAGTACAATAACAACACAAAAACATATTTATTCTTCGAAGCTCCTTCAGTCACTTCAGCTGAAAATGAACGATGACGTTCATGTTATTTTCTTTCAGCAAAGATCAGGTGAACTTAACTTCATCTTTAATCCATGTTTAGTTCCAGTCTCAGTTATCACACGAATATTAACCATAATTAAAACTGTCGATGGATTTTAACACGGACGAAATCTAAAAACGCAGGTTTGAAACCCGAGTTTGAAAAAAGAGGACGGAGGAGTCGACAAAGAGAAGGAGACGAGGATCGAGGGATGATGGGAGGAAGAGAGAAAGGAGGGATTTATGGAGGGGAAACGACAAACGGCGAGCTACTTAAGGAATGGACTGATAAATACTGTGGACAGGACGGAGAGCGGGGGAGAGAGATGGAGGAGCAGCGGAGCGTCGCGGGTTAATTGAGATAATATTGACCTCCTTCTCTAATCTCCTCGGGGGAAACAGGCCTCACATTCATAAATAAATAGGAACATGAGCAACAATAAAAGCATTAGTGCTGTGACGGAGGAGGGCTAATGGCACGTCAATACTGTGTGTGTGTGTGTGTGTGTGTGTGTGTGTGTGTGGTTTCCACGTCCTCGTACGTTAACATTCTGACCACAGGACGGTTTATTTGAGTGAAACCATCAAAACAGCAACATTAACTGATTTTATTTTCATCTCCTCTGAACACGTTTTATTCCCTTTGCTTCATAAATGAATGTTTCCTTCATTAAAGCTGCTGTTAAATTAGATTTGTGACGCCCGTTTGATTCCGCTCACGCTGCGGAGAATAACACAACCTCCAGTCTGAATAAATCTGCAGTGATGTCGTTTAAATACCTGAACATGTCGGAAATATTCCACTGATGAGGGAAAATACTGCGTCTCTATGTTTGACATTTTCTACTTTTACTCTCCTTCAGAGTCCAGAGGGAAATAAAAACATTTTTCATTTTCATCCAACAATTAAACTGGTTCAACTAAAGATTCACAAATTTATTTCTTTATATAATCTGACGAGCAAATAAAATTAAAAACATAGAACTTTTTACGTTTAATTTAATTTATGTGTTAAATAACATGTCGATCGTTTTTTTCCTTTAAAACATTTAAAACACCAACAAAACATTTTCTGTTCGTTTTTATTCTGTTGATTTAATTTGGATCTTTATTGTTTCTACGTTTGACTCAAAAATCTCCTACTTCATAAATACTCCTTTGTGTATAATGAGTAGTAATATTCATACACTGGATATTATGGAGTACACGTTATATTTATTATTCCTCAGGATTATATTTAATCTAAAATAAGGTTTTAATTTGAAAAGTCCCTGCTCAGGACTTTTATTTTTTAAATCACTTTCGCTTCGATGAAAGTTCTTTGTCACTGAAGATTTAATATTTGTGTGTTTGCATGTATCTGTGTGTTTGCATGTATCTGTGTGTGTGTGTGTGTGTGTGTGTGTGTGTGTGTGTGTGTCGGGGGGGTCATGTGGGGAGTAATTATAAGGTGCTTCTGTTGACTAATGAGCGGTGGGGGGGTGAGTGCAGGGGGAGGACGGGGAAGTCGATCTTTATGCGGACGGCAGTCAGCTCTAATTTGTTATGATGGCTGCTGCAGCGGCCGATAATTACACAACACACACACACTCAGGTACACACTGATCAACGGCACGCTAAAGTTCAGGCATTTGTTACTAACACACACACACACACACACACACACACACACACACACACACACACACACACACACATCCTCTATGAACCCTGTCTCTACTTCTGAAACACTGCCCCCTGTCTGCAGCAGGAAACCTAACTTCCTGGCGCCGTGGCGTCCACCTGTGTGTGCGTTTCCTACCTGCTGGCGTCCGGCCCGGGTTTGAGGCGTCCCTGAGCATTGGCCTCCCACACGCTGTTGGCGAGCTCGTTGCCGATGGCCGACATGACCTTGATGAGCTCCAGCGGCCACTCGTCCAGGTCCAGAGAGCGGACCCTGGACAGGTGGGTGCCCAGGTTCCTGTGGATGCCCGAGCACTCGATGCAGATCAGGGCGCCGAGGTTCAGACTCGCCCAGTCGGGGTCTGGAGGAGAACGACGGACACGACGAAGCATCAGAACAAAGCACCGATGTTTACATTCTTTAATTTCATGGAGATAAAACCATGTTCATAGAATCAGCTGAGTCTCACTCTGAGCTTCACAGTCGGCACAGTGACCGTTTCCTCGGATGCTTCTGATGGACTGAAGCGCCATCGCCTCCGACTGGCTGGTCAGACGAGACTGAGGGAGACAAACACACGACGCAGACACCGTCCTGTTACGTCTCTACAAACACGACAACACCTGAACACTGCTGAAGAAAGAGTGAGTCAGAGTTCAGACGCAGCGTTTAACATGTGGCTGATGCTGAACACACAACACAGACACACACTCGTGTCCTACAGGTGCAGACGTTGGACAGATGTGAGTCTGAGCGTCTGAACCCAGTGACAGAGGAAGGAAAGAATAACACAGCAAACAAATAGAATGGGGGAGGGGGGGTGGCCGGCGTTTTAGGTGGGACGTGTGTGTGTGTGTGTGTGTGAAAGGCTGAGAGCCTGAGGCGTAAACACGGCGTCGGAGCCGAGTCGCCGGCTGCACGTTCAGGTGGAAAATGGCAACGCTGAGGCTGAAGTGAAGAACAGTAATTGGTATTTGTAATTATGTGTGTGTGTGTGTGTGTGTGTGTGTGTTGATAATAATAATAATACATATGAGCAGGAAGCCTCCTCCTCTTATGTACGAGGTGAGGAGTGGGACTGCGGGCGTCGGAGCGTCGCTCACCTTGTTCTTGCTGCTCTCACACGACTGCAGACTGGCCAGGATCTGACTCTCGATCACCTGCACCCAGGCGTCTCGCTCCTCGTACGACGTGGCCTCAAAGTGCCACGTCTGCCCCGTCAGCGACACGATGGTGAACTCGAAGTTCTCCTCTTGTTCTGTGGGAAACAGGAAACTGTCGTGAGCGGAGACTGGAGGCTCGGAGCGGTGGGAGCCTCCGCAGCAGCCTCGTTGTTGAGGAGACACATTGATTTAAGAACGAGCGACGTCACAAACACAGAAACTCTTTCACTCGGACTTTAGGTTCAAACTGAAGCTTCATGTGACGACACCTGTTCTCCTGCTGACCTGCGTGACCCCGCCCCCTGAAGCCAGGATGTCACCCAAATTACGGGCCCCTGCGTGTGTCCCCCCCACCCCCCCACCCCCCCGAGGGCCCAACAAACCCTCTGCAGTCCCGTCAGTAGGAGAGGTCAGTCATTACAATCAGGAGCAGCTGCAGGGGGACATGTGGATCTATTACCCAGAAGCCCTCAGAGGTTAATGGGCCAATCAGGAATCAATTAAGATTCAAAGAAATGTGTCCGAACACAGAGCGTCTGATGAGAGGAGGAGTCTTCTTCACAGTTTAGCTCCACCACATTTGGAAACTGTTTGTGGGAAGTGGAGGTGAAGGGGGGGGGGGGCACGGTGTCATCACTAAACAACTTGTGTTTACGATTAGAGCCATGAGGAGGAGGAGGAGGAGGAGGTGTCTCAGAGGATAACTCTGGGTCCTCCAGTTTCCTCACAGTGTCAGGAGGTGTCTTCAGCGTGAAGAGGTTGCAACATGGTGGGAGGAGGCTCCTCACACTCCTCACGCTGAGCTCAGTAATCATTCATGACACTTGAGCCGAGTGTTTCTGGGAGCAGCGGTTTCATGACGTGTTCCGGGAGCGAGGCAGAGAAAAGATGAGGTCTAATCAGTCGGAGAGCGGTCACGGCCGGCCCGCGAGGGAGCGACCATTTGCGCTTCCTCAGCTCCAGTCATTTGGCTAATTGGGAGCGTCTCAGAGCAGCGGAGCTGAAGTTCCCCTCTGGCTGGGATCGGGATAATCAATGGCCTCGTCCCAGGAGAGGACGGACGGAAGGTGAGGGAAGAAGGAAAAGCCCTGAGGCCAGACGGCGGCTGAAGAGATTGAAAACACCTTCACCGGCCAAAGTTTCCTTTGCTGGAGAAACGTGGGATCATTTCCACGTCTCTGCTGCTTCAGGCTCCTGACGAGCTCCTGACGAGCTCCTGACGAGCTCCTGACGGGCTCCTGACGAGCTCCTGACGGGCTCCTGACGAGCTCCGGCCCACGAGTTCATTAAAACCACTGTTTACCAGGACTAGTTAACGGCTCAAGGTTAAACCAGACTTTAGTTCTAACGGGAACGTGGAGATATTTACAGAAACACAAGCAGTGACTGACGGTAGTTTCCTCTACGTTCATTTACCACGTGATGCGTCACCAGCCCCTCCTCCATCTTTACTCTGCGGACGCTCATTCAACAATCTGATGTTTATGATTCATCAAGTTTAGACTCAAACTAGTTTCAAAGATTTGAACTTGTCATCAACAGATCCAGAATCTGTCCCGACCTCTGACCTGACGATCGCAGATCCAGGTGAAGACCTGCAGCTCTTGTTAAAAGTTACTCGTGCGTCGCTGCAGCGTCTCAGAAATCCAAGATGTCTGTGACCTCAACTGATCCGTCAACTGATCAAAGTGCGACAGAAGCTCCTGCTGGTTCAAGGATTTCTTTCTCTCCGTCCTGCGTCCTCACTGAATGACTCAAGTGTTTGACGGAGGCCACAGATTAGAACGGTCTGAAATGTGTGTAATGAAGGACAAAGTGTAGATGGAGCAGAAAGTGAGGTGAGTGTTCTCGGTCTCCTGGGTCTGCACCGGCTGCGTCTTCGCTCTGAACAACGACCCACCCACCGAGCTCGAGCTGAGCCCTGCAGGGTCAAGAGCAGCAATCCCATCATAATTAAATTCCCATGATTCTCTGTTTCCAGCGGGGAGGGCTGTTTGGCTGCTTGACAATTATGGAAACCAACAATCCAGAAAGGGCCGGCCTCTCTGCGGCGTAAATTAAAAGCTGTTTCTGGATTTAAATGCTGCGTGCTGACCCAGCGCGCCGCAGCGGCTAATGAATAAAATGAGGGGGGCATTAGGCTGTGCAACCAGAGAGCCCCTCCCACCACGAGTCAGACTGAGAACCCCCCCACCTGAGCCTCAAGCGTTAAAATGCTCAATGTGATCTCACGTGAAGAGACGGGATCGTGGTTAAAGCCGAGAACGACACTTTCAGATTCTCCTCGTTTACTTTCTCCTCTTTTAGATTCTCCTCTTTTAGATTCTCCTCTTTTAGATTCTCCTCTTTCTCCTCTTTTAGATTCTCCTCTTTTAGATTCTCCTCTTTCAGATTCTCCTCGTTTACATTCTCCTCTTTTAGATTCTCCTCTTTCAGATTCTCCTCTTTTAGATTNATTCTCCTCTTTTAGATTCTCCTCTTTCAGATTCTCCTCTTTTAGATTTTCCTCTTTCAGATTCTCCTCTTTTAGATTCTCTTCTTTTAGATTCTCCTCTTTCTCCTCTTTTAGATTCTCCTCTTTTAGATTCTCCTCTTTCAGATTCTCCTCGTTTACATTCTCCTCTTTCAGATTCTCCTCTTTTAGATTTTCCTCTTTCAGATTCTCCTCTTTCAGATTCTCCTCTTTCAGATTCTCCTCTTTCAGATTCTCCTCTTTCAGATTCTCTCGTCGGTGGAAACCAAACAACAAGAGAACGAACACTGGACTGAAATGTTTGAGAGTTGATTGTTAATCCAGAGAATTTCTGGAAAGATGAGACGTGAAACGGATGAAAGAAGCAAAAGAAGCTGGTAAAGTAAACTTTAACATCTGGAGTAAAGACACTATCAGATACTAGGACTCTGCATATCGGTGAGAAGTGAGAACCAAAACATACTGATAATATCAAATATAAAATCACAATACATCAAAATAACTTTACAGAGACTTCCTTTGACACGAGCAGAAATCACTCGTTCACCGCTCAACTCTTCGAAGTGACCGGCTCCAGAGCAGCTGAGAGGAGGTGAACTGTTCATGAGACTTTGACGTCAGGGTCGTGGTTTAGGTCAAACTGGAGAATTATGGGTAGTTGAAGAAAGATGTTCATGAGAAACACGTCGATGTTGATGGATGATGATCTGAAAACACTCCAGATAAGATGTGACATGTTTTCTTAAAGATTCAGTCGGTGATTTCTCTGCACGCTCTCGACCACCTGAACCTGCTCAGCGTCCGCTCGACTAAACGTATGCATGAGAGTACAGGCGCTCACACAAACACACGCCGCCGCCGTGTTGGTAATTACTGCCGGCGCTCTCGGCTACAGTGCGCGACATTCACACAGATAGAGGTGACGCCGAGGCAATTTGTGAACTCTGACACCGGCAACCTTTAACGGCACAAACAGAACAAACCAAATATACAGCATTTACAAGACGGGGGGGGGGGGGGGGGGGGGGGGGGGGGCATGCATACAGGCCCATCACCCAGGGTGTGAGGTGTCGACACCGCCCAGCGGGGGGGGGGGTGTGACAGGCAGGACGGTGGGTGCAATGAGAGGGGAGGCGTGAGGGAGACAAAAGGGGGCCTCGGGAAACACAAATTAAAAGCCTTAAATGTCAGCGCACACAGTATTGCTCTGCGACACAGGTCATTACTCCTCGTATTATTCGCAGCCTTTTACAACATTAATAACCTGGACTCTCCCAAGTCTCACGGAAACATGGACGTCTCCAGGAAGGAGCCGTGACGGAGACAGGACACGTGGACCCGCTCGTACGGTAACAGCACCGGTACAACGCACGCTTCCCGGTGTCTGCTGCCCGCAGGCCGGGTGCGTTTGTTCGGTCGTACCCTCACGGGTGAGGAGGGCGGGGCGCGGGGAGGCACAGGTCGGGGGATTTGGGCCGGGAGGAGACGATTCATTGTGAAAATGAATATTTTGTCGACAGGACCCAGTGAACAGAGAGGAGGTGACTCACAGGTCAAAAGATTCTCCAACAAGATCACGAGGAGAATTCATGTTCGCTTCTTTTGATTCAACAGAACCAGCGACAACTTCCTGTTCAACACTTCCAACTTCACAAACTTTAGATTTCGAATTCTGAAAATGAACAAATGTCGGATTGATGACAAGAAACATGTAAGTTCAGAGGTTCAGTCTGACTTGATGAATTTATCTCTCCACCCCCTCGAAGGATGCGACATCTTTTGACCGGGCCATCACCAAAGCAATGATTTCTGGGTAATGTCTCTTCCTGCAGCGCCGGGCTCTTTTACCTTCGGAGTTGCGCAGGCTGTTGGCGTAAATGCTGCGCAGACTAGCGACACGGTTTAGTTTCCACGCTTTGCGCTCGGCTGCATGTGAAGAGAGAGAAGAGAGGGATCTGACCACACGTTCCAGGAAACACAAAGAATTCTGGGAGGGGACGGGAGGGGCCAACGAGCACGACGAAGGGGGGAGAAGTTTGCAACATAACAAAAGTTTTCAACAGGAAACTGAACCACGTGAACACGTGACCTCCTCTGCTCCTGACCTCACAACTAAAACATCAACCGACCGATCACAGACAGATTTCAATAGAACGAAGGAAGAATTTAAAACACGGAGCGTGAGAAGAATTTATTTTCCTTAAAAACTTCCTGCACATTCTTCACATTAAAAGCCTGCAGAGCTTTTAATGTGAAAGAGTTGAGCTCCTCTGACACTTGATCAAGAAGAAGATTTAAATAATAAGAGAATCAAACCAGCTGTGATTGGTCGGTTAAAACGTTTCGATCGTCATCAAATTAAATTGTATATTTTCTGTTTGAGTTTCTCTAAAGTGAAGATCCTGGAAACTAAACGATTCAAATACACACATACAGAAATAATATACTCTAATAATAAAACTTATCCAAATAAGAATTGACTTCTTCTATTTAATATTTATTTCTCAATAAAGATTTAAAAAACGATTCCAGATATAAACCAGACGTGACGTGACAGAACCTGTGAAAGACTCGGAGTGACCTCTGACCTCAGCTCCACTGATATTTACCCCTGAGGCCACTCGGAGCATTTTCCACCAAACCAACATGTTCAGACGGTGAAACTCGGTCGTGACGGAGGAGACGGCCGCACTTTAAATGTTACTCTGCTTGTTTTCTCTCCTCGCTCCTCAGGAGACGCAGACGAAGGTTTGATGGAGTCGCAGATTAAATCTCCCTGAAATGAATCAGGCTGAAGGTCGAAGGGTGATTGTGTGAATACGTTTTGATTGTTCTGTGAATTGTTGATCTTTTTACACCACGACACTTTAAATCATCTTTATCATCCAGTTGTTCATTAGACGACAGAACAGCTGAATAATAAAAATTATATAAATGTTCTGTAGATCTACAAATATTCTGATGGTAATTTAATTTCCAAACCTTTATTTATAACTTCAGTAAGAACAATTCCTCATTATCTGTTTTTTTAAAACTAAATTGAATCTACACAGAAAATAAATTTGATTCTGAAATATTAAATAAAGACATCGACGGACCACCTGCACGCTTTACCACAGTGACTCTTTGTTTCCACCCGTCTGACCCCCCCCCCCACACACACACACACACTGACCTGTGGCGGTGAGCAGAGCTGATTAACCTCGACTTTAAAAGAATTCATGTTCACAATGAACCAGTGAGAGACGACGCTGCAGGTGCATCGTCCTGCTGACAGCTGATCGACAAACAGAACCATGACCAAACACACACACACACACACACACACAGGTACCACAGCAGGACCTCTGACCACATTCCTGCAGAAACTCTGCCGAAGGCTTTGATTCATCAACCGGTAAACTCTGCAGAACAGGTGGAGCTGTGTGTGTGTGTGTGTGTGTGTGTGTGTGTGTGTGTGTGTGTGTGTGTGTGTGTGTGTGTGTGTGTGTTCCAGGTCAACTTTCAAAGCTTCAGACTGGAGGGAGAGAATCAAACAGTGGCTTGTTAATGAGAACCAGGGCTGATGATCATAAGGGCACAGTGTGTGTGTGTGTGTGTGTGTGTGTGTTTGTGTTTGAGAGTGTGTGTGTGTGTGTGTGTCTAAATGAACTGGACTAGATGTGGGATTTAATTTGAAACTTTTTTTTTTTCATTTTCTATGAATCTAATAATCTTCATGTATGTTTTGTTCAAATGTATAAAACAAAGATGGCCGACATGTCTCAGATTCCTTCCATTGGACAAAAATGAAGCTAAAACATCTGGGACCTGGTCCACGTCCCATCCGCTAACATGGAGGAGGAGGGTTTATGACCTGTACTGCAGCCAGCCACCAGGGGGCTTCAGCCTCGGTCTCTGACACCACGAGATGTAAACAAGATGAAGTGAAAACTACGACTGAGTCAAAACGTCCGACAGACGAACGGAGGTGGAAACACCTGGAAGAAGAAGAAGACGAGTCCAGAATCACAGGAAGTGTCTCACGAACTGAGACGACCAGGTACGGACGTTTGTGAAGGCGGAGCTAACCGACAACACCACCGCCATCTTCAAAACCTTCTGCCGCCACAGCTGATTGTGTGTGTGCGGTGTGGTCCTACCTGGGGGAGCTCGGCCACAGAGGGCGGTTCCCCCTCATGAATTACTTCGGGTCTCGCACTGACACGGAGATACTTCACCCGCTCGCCCGGCGTGACAGGCGGCGAGCCGGCGGAGCGCGCTCGGTGCTTAATGGCTAAATTGGGAAGACTGTTACTAATCGCTTATTGAATAATGAAAGTGACACAGCTGATAAAAGATTTCAATACGGTGGATTATTTATAATATTTCACTTAAACCTCTCCGGCTGAGTAATGGGCGGCGACGGGAAGGAGTCAGAGAGCAAAGGGAGGAGGAGAGAAGGAGAGGATGGAGAGAACACTTTAAATGAATAAACGAGAGGAGGAGGATCCAGGAAGAAAGAAGATGATGAGAGAGACACGTGAAAAACAGGAGGATGAAATATGATCGATTAAGGAAGAAGAGAGAAGACGAGGATGAAGAGAACATTTAAAATGAACAGAAGAACGATGGAGGAAGAGAGTGGATGAGTAGAGATATGATCAGGAAAGGAAGAATAAAAAGAGGAGAGAAGGGAGGAAGACCAGAGAGGAGGAACTGAGGAAGGACAGAAAAGTAAAGGAGGAGAAGAGATGTGATGAGAGGAGGAAGAAAAAGGAAAACAAAGCGAAACAAAGGTGAGGAGAGAGAGAGCGAGAGAATAAAACAGACAGAAGAGGAGGAGAGATGGAAGCAGTCGTGGCGTCGATCCGTCACCGTGACAACCACTTGTCTTGTCAGCGGCTTGATGCGTCCGTGATGGAGACGAACATTACACATCTGCTGCCGCCGCCACATCTGTTCACATCAACAGAGCGTGTGTGTGTGTGTGTGTGTGTGTGTGTGTGTGTGTGTGTGTGTGTGTGTCAGCAGGAGAAGAGAACAGCTGCAGTTCTCTGTTCTGATTGGACCAGAACCACACACCTGACCTCAGGTCTGTGTTTAAAACTGTGACATCACCAGACAACACACTGGAAAAACACAGACCTCGTTATTTGAAACTTCCAGGAAACATCGAACATCACGACTGTCGTCAAACGAGGAAAAGAGCAGTGAGAAACTTTCAGACCACGATAATCTAGGATCTGGTCGGTGAAGACGAATCCAGGAGATACGTTTGTGAGAACATGCTGCTGTTTGTTTGTTTGTTTATTTGTTTGTTTGTTTGTTTGTTTGTTTATTTGTTTGTTTCCTGTCACTCATGACCAACGTCATCGTCCGCTCAGATTCGTGATCGTACGACGTGATATTCATCGCTAGAATCTGGTTTTGTTTCACACGACAGTCACATGAGGAGACACACGGATGAAGAGATGAAGGGCTGACAGAATGGAGAGATGGAGAGATCCTTCCCTCTCAGCGGAGGTCTGGAGGCACGATCACATGACTTCCTTTCTCGACCCCGGTCTCTCAGTACGTTTTATACATTTGGAGAATTCAAAGTGTTCGTGATGTTTCAGACATTAAACCGGAGACTTGTTTCTGGAGGACGGGTTTAGCGGTCGGACCGGGGCAGGGAAAGTGTGAGGCGAGGGGGGGGGGAGATGGCGTTACCTTCCGCAGTACCAGAGAGGCCGTCGGCTTTGAAGTTGCTGGTGCTCTTCTTCCGCCGGTGCTTCTTGCGGTTGGCGTGCGGCGACGGCGGCGGCTCCATCTTGGGGCTGGTGGTGCTGGAGATGCTGGGACTGGAGCAGACGGAGTCGCCGAGGCCCGTGTCTGGAAAAACAAACGCCGGCGTGAAGCTGGAGTCTGACAACAACACAGTGAAACGAGAAACGAGGCTTCATTCACTCTGCAAACGTTCAAACTTTGATAAGTGATGAAAACACACGCGAGGTGACGCAGGGCGGAGCTGTGCTCCACATGAGGTGTGCAGGGGGAGGGGCTGGACCTGAGGGCGAGCGAGGCTATCAGAAGAGGCAGCGTCTCTCTCTCTCTCTCTTCGCTGACAGCTGTGACTAGCGGCAGAATAAAATAACATTCAGCTTCCATCAATATCACAGCGCGGCGGTGACACTGACATGGGCGCGGTGTGAGCGGAGATGGAAACACATGTGCACAACACACACACACACTCTCACACACACTCACACACACACTCACACACACACGCGCTCGTTGGCGGCCGAGTCCCACACGGCAGACAGCCCCAAGGACGGCCATAACTTATTTTACAATCGTTTAGTCTCAGCTCAAGTGGAAAATGTGACAACTTATCTCTGCTGACAAGATGCCATCCCCGAGCGCGCAATTAACCGCCGTGGATTAACGGCCGTCCCATCTGCACGCCGCGCTCCATCCACGTCAGCCCCCCCACCTCCTGCAGACCTCCACCTCCTCCTGCCTCCTCCTCCTGCCTCCCACTGTTTTCTGTGGGTTTTCCCTCGACTCTAACTCGAGGGTTTGGACGCCGGCTGCTTCTCGACCACGGAAGCGTCCACACGCTGACGACGAGGACAAACCAAACGAGAGACGACTGCTTCTTTTAATGACGTCATCAAACCTTGTTGTTTTCACTTCCTGCTGTAAAAACTTTTCTGTGTGATGAAAACTTCTCACATTTCTTCTCTCGTCTCAAACATTAACGACCTGAATGATTTGTGTTTTATTGTTTGATCAGTTACTTCCTCTTCCTGTTCGGAACAGAAACTGTGAACGAAGACACGTCTCCACGTTCGTCTCCTACGTCTACTTTGTTTTTCACGAGTGTCCCATCTGCTAACGTGGAGGAGCCGTCATGTCGTCCCTCCGGGTCCAGGAAAATCTTTTCACAGCTTTAAACGTTGTTTGATGACGACTGGAGGGTCGGACACTGATGACAGAGCTGTCAGTCAAACTTATTGTCAAGGCAACACACACACACACACACACACACACACACACACACACTATGACAGCTATCAGTCTGTGTGTGTGTGTGTTCTCTCTCGCCGTCACTCACCCGTGCTGACTCCGGAGTTGGCGATGACCGTGGCCTCGGCCCACTGGTCGGCGCTGGAGACGGAGTACGAGCGCTGGTGCATCCCCTCCATGCCGCGACTGTTGAAGGACACCAGACTGGCGCCGCTCGCCATCTGAGACACCGACGTGCTGGTGGTCACCGAACCTGAGAGACAGACAGGAAGTCAAACCACCAGGAAACGTTAACGTCCAGAACCAATCAGAACCAGAGCTGAGTCCAAACATCGACAGCCACGTTCCGAAGCCTCCTTCAAACATGGCCGACGTTCGCTCCAGTGGGTGGAGTCTACTATGCTACGCTCGTTAGCTTGAAGTTGATCCATAAAATAAAAATACATTTGTATTTAATCAATAATCAATGAATCAGAGGAACAGATCATTTAATTTCATTTTAATACACACACACACACACAGACACACACACACGCACACACACACACACGCACACACACACACACAGAAGCACATAAAAAGGCAGCCTCTCACACGCTGGCTGTTTAAATCAAACCCTTGAGTTAGCGAGAGGCTGCACGCTCCAACAGTCGACTAAACCCCCCCCTCCTCCCCTCACCCTTCAGCCTCCCTCCCTCACCCCCCCTCCCTCCCTCACCCTCTCATTACAGCTCATTTCTCGGAGCTGGCTGAGTGGAGCCAGGACTCTGATTACATTAATATTCATGACAATAATTAGTACACGGAGTACGGCTCACTGAATATTCATGCTATTAGCTCGGCCTCGTGTGTGTGTGTGTGTGTGTGTGTGTGTCTTTTGTTTTACGACGTCTCTCCTCAGGTGAACAGAAGCGTTTTGTGTGTTTCGAGGTTGAACTCGTGTTTTTTATTTCGTCTCTGTTCAGTGTTTGAAACGTTCTCAACTAAACAACAGCAGAGATTAAAAAAGAATAAAACCTCTGATGATCCTTGTCCATTAACATTAGACAATAATTAGTTGATTGTA